ACTAACTCTGTTCTCATTAGGGTTTAAATGGATTCCCCTCATGGGAAGAAATCATCACCTCGATTTTTCCAGCTAGAGCCCCATCTTCTCCCCTTCAGAGTCAGGATCCTTGAAAGAATTCTCTACACTAGAGATTCCACTTCTTTACCTCTGAATCATTCACCCCACGTTACATGGCTTCTGCCTCTGACCGTGCCATTGAAAGTGTTCCCGCCAAGGTTACCGATGACCACAGTCCTTCCATCCCATGGCCAGTCTGCTGCGTGTGACATCACCCATCACTCCCTCCGAACACGTGAAACACAATGAAACACAGTCTTTTTGCTTCTGTGATACTGGGTTTGCCTGGTTTTCCTCCTACTTTCCAGACAATGCAGAATCCTTTTCCTTTTTTTGTCCTTCAAATGCCCACGTTTTTCTAGCTCTCTTCTCATCTACCCTATGTTTTCTGGATTATTTCATCTACTATCATGGTATAAATTACCATTTACATTCTGACGATTTTAAAACCTTAATTTCTAGCTCCAGACTCATATACCCAGTTGCCCCCTTGGACACCTCCACCTGGTTACTCCCAAGGGCACCTTACTGTATCACCTAAATACACACGTGTGTGCACTTAGGCACACCCCCTGCCACCACTTGCACACACACAGCCTGTGCCCCTACCCCAGCAAATGCAAGTACCATCCATCCAGTTTCCCAGGGCAAACTCTTTAGAATCATTCTTGATTATTCTCTTATTCTCCCTCCACGAATCAGTCACGACATCCCCAGTTCCTCTCAATCCGACCTCTTACACAGCTCTTTACTTCTTCACACCAGTCTCCTTCTTTCCACCTTCAGCTGCCACCTGGCCCAGATCGCCTCACACTGCATCTCATCAGAGCCCTGGTTGTGCCCAAATCCAATCTAATTTCCATGTCCTGCCAGAGGGATCACCCTAAAATGCAAAGCTGATTATTGCTCTCTGCTGTTGCAAAACACGTCCACTTCCTTCCTCCGGGATTGGCTTTTCCACCCATTAGACTGGCCTGGCTGTCTTCTCCCATAATAACTACACAGGTTCCATCAAATTCCATTGTAATGTATTTACCTGCCTGTATCGTCAAAGAGACAAAAGCTCCTTCCTTTGTTCAATTAGTTATGAGCTATTTCTCAGAACCCTCCTATGCATCATGTGCTGTTAATAAGTGGTGAACAGAACGAGTACTGACCCTGCCTCATGAGAGCCT